ATACTTCTTAAAAAATCCTTTATATAACTAATTTCACGAGTGACATACCTTAATTTATGTCTGATATCTTTAAAAAAAAAAAATGTAGCCTATGTATTTTATAATATCAAAAAAAAAAGTTCAAAATAAAGTTTTTTTCTACTTTGAAAAAAGGTTTTGGATTTTCCTGTATTAAATATAGATATTTTTTCTACACATTTATGGAGGAAAAATTCTAAAATTAGAAGAACATTTCGTTTTAAATTATATATACTGATATCTTCTATATATTGGATATCATCTTCCACGTTTTAAAAAATCCTTTCTCTGGACCCTCGCCTCCTTTTAAATTGCTGGATTCGTCTAAAAAATCGTGAACCTTACCTTGGAACAACCTATCAACCCAATTACTTATCATGTACATGTATTCAGTTTATTTCTAGTTGACAGATTATTTAAGAATTCTTATGAAATAATATTATTCTGAAATGACCATAAATGAACATGAAATTTCAAAAATGGATAACGTTACAATTATTGAAATAAAAATCAAAACAATAAACAAATTGACAATCACTTTTCTCAATGATAACTAAAACATGTACATCAGATTGCAATGCTTTGAGGAATTTTAGTTTCAATGGAGATGGGTTCATAGTAGTTCATTCATTGATGGAATCATAGGAGTTCATTCATTGTCTAGTATTCCCTTTAGGTGTTAGGTGATACCTTTAGAGTTAAAGAAAAAAGTTTACAGAACTGAAAAAAATAAATGTAACATATCCACCACAAAAAAAAATATTAAAAGTTATAATATCAAGGAAGTTAAGAGACTAGTGTTTTAAAATGTTCTTGTGTATATTAAAATGTCTCCAAGCCCGATGTTTATTCACTTAGTATTACATGTGGTAGCTAAACACAGTTTCGTATAAAATCCATGGGGTTTTCCCAGATATAAGAATAATGTTAAGGATTTGCCTGCTATTTATATGAGGTCCACATATTATAGGCCTAAAAACTGGAGGGCTATATCTCGGAAACTAGAGACGGTACCATCCCCATTTTTTCATAATAGTGGTAACTGACCACTAGTACCCTACCCTCAAAATTTCAGACCCCCAGACAGGGGACTTCGAGGTCCCCGAGCCCGATGTTTATTCATATAGTATTATATAGTAGGCCTAAAAACTGGAGGGCTATATCTCGGAAACTAGAGACGGTACCATCCCCATTTTTTCATACAAGTGGTAACTGACCACTAGTACCCTACCCTCAAAATTTCAGACCCCATGACTTATGTTAAAATTTTGAATTGCGAACTGCGTTCTAGAATGCAGTTCACTTTTGAACTGCGAATTGCGAACTGCGTTCCAAAATCTGATTGCCTAACCACTTCTTTTCGCATACAAAAGCGCTCGCTCCGTGATCGGGAGGTCCTGAGTTCGTGAGTTCGAATCTCGGCCGCGACTGACCTAAGTCGATAAAAAAATGGGTAGCAACTGTTCCTTCGCCATGCGCTCGACACTTTGAAGTGAAAGTTGTGGGTCCTTCGGATGAGACCTTAAAAACCGAGGCCCCGTGTCACGACAGGCGTTGGCACGATAAAGATCCCTCCCTGCTCAATGGCCCTGAGTGCCGAGTAAAGATCAAAATTTGAAGCCCTTCGCCGGTTTATGGGGACGTCTCTACATGAGTGAAAAATTCTCGAATGGGACGTTAAACAACATACAATCAATCAATCTATTGCAAACAAATTTTAATTTGATATTTTATTTGTATCAAATTGATTAATTATGGTAGAAGTTATGGTTATTGAATATTCATTAGGGTGTATCCTTATTTATTTGGACGAAAGGTGGTGATAAGTGTGAACAGAACAAAATAATTTCTAATAATGAAAAATTCTCTGCAAAACATGCCAGTGTGAATATAATTTAACAAACTTATAGATCTTGCTTCATCGATTCAGATAAAAAAATGAATAAGTCTTATGGAATTTTTAAGGAGTTGTACAGAATATTTATAAAAAGAAAATCGCATGAGATAAATAAAATACTACATGTATTATGTGATTTTTATATTTGCTCTTTCCAACTCCTTGAAATGGTGCTTCAGTATTCTTAGCTATGCAAATTAGGCAGAAATATATTTTGATTAGAAAATATAAAATCAAGAAATATGTCCTCTAAACATCTATATTGGATTAAGAAAGGAGGCATCTCCCAAAATTAAAGTTAAATGTATTGTAACGGGTCTCTACTTTCTCTCCGAGGGTTGTCTGATATATCTTTCTTGCACGGCTTGCGTTACACGACTACTTGAGCTAAGAGGGTTTATCTGGCACAATGCTTTAATTTTATTTCACAACGCTAAGTTATATTTATCTCCCTTTAAGTGACACTGTTTTCAATCTTTCGGCAATCCTCCGCTACGCTCCATTCAAACCTCGGATGTAATTGGTGGAGGAATATGCATCAAATCTATACATTTCTCCGCCGGAAACTGCCTTCGTAACTCATTTCATATTTTACTCTGCATAAAGTTCTTCAATTTTTTTAAACTAGTCTAATATTCTTCCTTGTATATTGGTTTTGATTACAATCTTATGTTAGTAGTCTTTGAAAGCAAAAACATAGTGTTGGGCGTGCCATAAAGTGCCACAAAGTAACTCAGATTTCAAAAGTGTAACATTCGGAGGATTTTCAAATAAGATCACATGACTGTCTGTATACGCAAAATGGTAGAACACAGTTTACGTCCGAGGTTAGTGTGCGAGGTACGAGCCACCCGAGGAGCTCCAAGTGGTTTTCAATTCCTCTAAGTTTTCTCCCTTTGATTAAAAACCTTTTAATTACTCAGCTTTCTCCCTCACCACTGTCTACAACTTATACCATCTATTATTAACCTGCGCTCTCTAAGTTACACTAAATTTATTAATAAACGAAATCTCTCGGCTTTTCTTCACTATTTTTGAAACCTTTCATAATCTAGATTTTAAGGAAGTCACTAAATTTCTCTTAATACTCCGTATCCTCTGACTCAGTTCTTAATCTTTACCATTCCGCATTTTCGACTTGTTTGGAAACCTTCAACTTTAGAAAGCCATGTAAATTTCTGTATTTGAAATGAGACAAAATACAATTTTACAATTTATTATAATGATTATCTCTTAAATAAACAAGAAACAAATCTAAACTCTGTCTTTAGTCTAGTCACCTACAACTATCTGTCTATAACCACCTTCTCTCACAATGTTTATGCTGGAAAAGTAAAACTTCAAAGTTTAAATTCCAAACTCAAAAACTTTCTCCCAGACTTCCTGGATGAAAGCTAAAAAAAAAACTAAAACTTACTCCCTTACTTTCCTAATCAATTTCCAACAGTAGTAAAATTCCTACCTTTAGTAGTTTTAAAAATAAATTACATAAACAACCAGCAGAACCCCCCCCCCCCTTATTTCTGTATTCTGTAATGGCAACAGACGACCTTACTAAACTAACACACAGTTGTATTTTAAATTATGATCTTTATGGAAGAAACATTATTGAGAGTCCTAATTGTTCATATGGTACACCAGAAGACCCATATCATTTCTTCTTTGTATGTAATAAGTATCAACCACAGGCCTTTAAATCGCTTAAATCCGACTTTTAAAAAAATTGGGGTGTATAAAAGAGATAATTTAACACCTTTAAGTTAATTTTTTAATGCGATCTAATGGCCTGTGGTATCAACGTGCTAGGGAGGAACTATTTAGAAACTTTTTAAGTCTTACTAAACCAAACTTGGGGAGATGAATCACAAAATGTCGAAATCAATAAATATAATTTTCAATCGGTACAAAAATTTATAAGAGATTCCGGTAGATTCAATTAATTTTTATAGCATAACTAAAATTTTAGTTAGTTATATTTTTATCAGGTAAAGAATGTATGTATGTATATCAAATTTCTTCTTTTTTATAGACAGTAGTAGACATTTACGGTGAGATCCTCGTAGGTTTGATAGAACTTGTTTTCAAACCATTTGTATACTATTTATACAAAAAAATTATGTTCAAACTAAAATTCCAGAAAATTCCTTAGTCTGAATTCCGTTATAAAACGACAGCAAAATTTAGAAATACACTGGCTTCCTTACCCAAATGTATAAATTACCTAAATTAATGAAAACAACTTCAAATAATTTCAGTAAACTACCTGTTTACTAAAAAATTCAAACAAACAGCAAATTTCAACAAAGTCTAATTCCCAGAATTACCGAAAACCATCGGTTCTACCGGCAAAACCGATAGAAAATAGAAATATCCGATACAATTCGCTATATTACCAGTCCGGGTGACCGACTGTTGTGATTGAAGGCTTGTCTTGAGACACAGTTAGATTATTTTAATTAATTGTATCTGATCTATTGCGATGTCTCCAGGGGTGTGCAATAAGCATCGTTCGACACCCGAGGCTACCATTTCTTGGGGTCGGGTAGTAGATTTCTGCACCGCCAAGGAGATAGCCCCTTGGGCTAGTAAAAGTTAAAACTACCAATGTGATACATGACGAGCACTACTGGTATTTTCACTCATTCTTTGCTATTAAATTCCCAATAAATAAAAAAATTCCAGGCATCATGTTCCTATTGATCGAAAATCTCCATAATCTTATCTATTTTGCAATACTACCTTTTTTCCTAATCCGAATTTCCTCTACTCCTCTGTTTATGGTAAACACATGCAGATATCTCGTTAAATTATTTACGATCACTCTATCAATTGTAAGAAGAGTGTTATGAAATTTACATAAAATATTAATAGTTCCAATGTATTTAATGATTAAAGATGAAAAAAAAAAGATTTTCGCTTCAGTTTAGATGAGCTTAGTGCAATGCCCAGAAAAAAGGGACTTTAAGATAATTTATTTAAATTCATTTTTTATTTTCTATCAAAATGTATAATTTATACATGATTCAATTTTACAAGTTAGAATTATACTTTTAATTTTAAAAAGAATAACCTTAAGACCCTGACTTTTTTCAAACAATAAACTACTTTTTCATATTAGTTGTTACTCCCCCACTCCTACATTTCGGCTAGCAACTTTTTACTTGGGGCTAGCAACTTTATTGCTGCCACTAGCCCATGGGCTAGTGTTTGAACTTTTTACAATGTAATTGCATACCCGTGGTCTCACAATCGGTGTTGTAATGATCCGTGGAAAGATTTACACACTCAATTTGAGTACTATAAACCAATGCCATTTTCTTTCGAATTACATCATGAAATATACTAAAATTTATTCGGACTGATAGAATTTGCTTCGGACTGGTAGAACACATTGAGTCATCAGTCCGAATGACTGATAGAAATTTTTGGTTTTCGGAAACTCTGAATTCCTCGATGAAAAATCACTAAAATTAATCAAAATTCCTATCAAATTCCACATATATTCCAGAAGTTCCTAAAATGTGCTGAAATATCCCTGGTTCTTCTTAAAATAAAATTAAAAAGTTATTCTTAGGCATAAATGTTAACTTCTAAATCCTGATTCCTAAAACACAGCTTCTCTAAAGATGTGTTCCTAGCAGAAGAGGAAAAATTCTTTGAACCTCTCCTTTTTATACCAAAGTCTGACGTAGAAGTTGGAAAATGTTGGAGAATCTCTCGTGACATCTCACGTAAGCGGCAAAATCTATAGAAAAATCTAGTAAAACTACATAACTACATAAAAGACAACTATTCAACTATTCTGAATCAAAGCAATCACCAAAAACATTCCTAAATCGAAATAAAAAATAATAATATCCATTTAATGCAACATATGACACGACTAACTCCAAAAATCCCCAAACTATTGTAACTTTTACGATCGCTCTCAACCTCCCGCAGTTACGACGTTAACGGTGATGTTTCGCGCCGGTGCATGGTTCGAATTGAATATCACCAACATTTTACAGTGGATTATAAAGGTTTAAAAAAACAACTTGCAAAATAATCAACACAAAATAACTGCGACAATTTTGACTTTCGTGCAACCATTTTGCATTGTATGAGATTTATTCAAGCCAAATGTAAGAAATTCCGAAATGTATAACTATGATCATGCTGCTTCGAAATATTTTTTAAATATTTTCAAAGCAACCAAATTTTCCTCCCTTCTCTTCATTTACAATAGATACAAATGACACAAATTTAAAAAGGTGAGCATTTTTAAAAATATTTCTCTAGTTTAAAAAATGCACTTCGCAAATTTTTAATCAAGTTTAATGGTAAAGTGTTGTATACACGGTTTCTCAATCAAGTTCTCACATTCAAGCAGATAATCGCTATAATGAAATAATTCTCACCTTTTGATCTCCACCTAATTACAAAATTACAACGGGGACACATTCGATTCAACGGGAACAAATCCTCATTGAATTGTTGAACAAACATTCTGAACAAACTAGTAGACTAATTGTTCTCGAACAATTACACGTTGCGCACGGTGTTGGTACACACTGACGTTACGTCAAAATAACGTTATTAAAGTCATATCGCTGTTACAACGTTTTAAACGTTATAATTGCATATTTGAGTTGTTTAATGTGAATTTTATTTATTTATTTTTTTAATCTAAATAAAATAACAGGGCACAAACTATTCAATTTTTGAATCGTTGAAAATATTTACATGTACACTAAAAATCTTATCTTATAAATAAATTGTAAGATTTTTAATATGAAATTGGCACAGGCATATACATTCCCATTCATATCCTTGATTCCTCTTTCTTTTTTCTAACTTTGTAATCTGTCTTGAAAAGAGAAAACACATCAATAGCGTGATATTTTATAGGAGAAGGGGTGGCTCTTGAGGGAATCGCACTTTATAACTGTTACACAGAGTATAGGGGTTTCCCCGGAAAACAGAATCTGGTGTGGGATTTCTGAAAGGGAAATTCTACTCAAGAGCCAGTTTTCTGATAAAGACTTTAGAGGGGAAAGACTGATATAAAGTTCTTGTTTTAATTTTAGGCTTTTGTACTGATATGTTTTTGTGAATCGGACGATAGATTGGTTCTAGAATTATAGGAAGTCGCTAAACTGAGAAAAATTAAATGGCCTTATATTGAATTGAACTTTTCTTGTTTTTTTTTTTTTTTCAGCCCCATGCAGTAGTTAAACTCTCTTTATAAATCGGGGGTAGGGGGTATTGTCATGCAAAAAAGGAGGGATTGGGACGTTTCACTATTAAAAACCCTACCCAAAAAAACTGGCTTGTCGCCAAATTCAGAAATCCTGTTACTTTGGGGGGAGGGGGTCATTCTCATTTTTAGCAAGAGAGAGAGAGAGAGAGAGAGAGAGAGAGAGAGAGAACAATAACGTGATATGTTTAGATATTGCTGCAACAAAATAAAAAGGATGTACTGGCGTTTGAATGAAAATTTTCAGAAAATTTAAACAAGAGCTTATTCTAAAATAATTGGAGAAGGACTTCCTACCCTACTTGGTACTCCGAACCTGCAGAAAATTGGAAAAAAGAGCACGGCGATAATAATTTGACGCCCCCGACGTCATTCTTACAGTATGTAGTATGTAAAATGACGTTTTCGTACCTGTGACAAAACGGCTACATTTATATTGATGCTTGCATTTATTTCATGTAGATGATTACCGTAGAAATTACGCATGTTATTATCTAATACAGTATGAAATGTTCTTTCAAGCTACAGTAATGATTGGTATATATATGACATTAATTTATGTATTTTTGATATGTAACTGAGACATATTAAGTAATAGTATAGCGACTCGTACGTGCATAACAAAATGGCTACACTTTACAAAGCCTTATTTATATTTACGTATTAGCAGTAATATGATATCAACATATTAACTAATTTTAGAAATATATGTACTTAAGGATTATTCATCAAAAATTATATTTGTTTGGCATTTTTGTCTACTACACATCGCCATGTGGGCTAATGTCAACTTTAGGAAACGATTTTTTCTGTTGGACATTTAACTTACGTACTGTAGATTTAGCCCAAACTCATGATATTGAGAAAATGATTTTAAAAATTCAACAGTATCACAAAGAATGCATACAAATTATTGTATTTCCTAAATTTCATTTCATTTAGAGGATTGGAGGTGGATTTTTTTATATATTGTAGTTGCGCGAACAATAATTTATGTAACGTTGGACACGGGAATTTCGCCGTAATAACCAATAATGAATAAAGCCATATCATAACTTAAAATATTTTTAGATTATTTAAAAAGAGAATTTTTAGAATAATTTATTACCTTGGATAAAATAATTAATTTTATTTTTAATTTCTAGAAACTTTAACATCTTGAAAACGCCAGTTTCTTTACGACATCTAAAGAGTCAAATTTTGAAGTACCAAAAACCGTGCGCAATGTTTCAGAAATCTTTCCACCTTCTATAGATTTCATATATTTTTCATATTTAACTCTCTACAGTTAATTTCAAATAAAAAGAAACCAAAAATGAATTAAGTTAACAATTTGCAAAAATGAAAATTTAAAAAAAATTAGAGTGACCTTGACCTTTGACCTTCAAAAAATATTCAAGGTCAAATGTCAAGAACCACATTACTGTTGGTCCCTTGTTTCTATGACTCTTTGTTTAAAAAATTTGGGCTTCAACATTAAATGCAAATATATAAAAGGGCAATAACTCACAAAAGGGGTCATGGGATTCATCGCACTGACAGATTAAAGTTTTGTCTCGAGAAACTTAAGGCATTAGTAAAGGTTTGATGTTTCTATGTTTTACAGTTTCGGAGGAGTAACGATAACAATGTTTATAGTGAAAGTGGCCATAACTACTAAAGGGGTCAATCTTAGGGACGAGATAAATATCTTTTAGATAGTTTTTATAGGACATATTTAAGGTGCAAAGATATGTTACACATGTTTCAAGACAAAAGAGATAAAAAGAGAGCTAAATTTCTAATATTTTCAATGACATTGACCTTTGACCTTGACCCAAATTTCAATGTCGATGGTCAAAGAATCTAATGCAGTTGGCCCAATGTCTCTATGACTTATCGTTTAGAATTTTTGAAATATTTTGTAAACATCAAAAACGTTCAGAGGCAATAACAACTTAAAGGGGTCGATGGATCATTTTGCACTGAACAGGTCAGAGCGTCTATGAAGTTAGTCGTAGGCATTTGTGATAGTTTAGTACATCTATGGTTTACGGGTTCGGAGGAATAGCGATAACAAGCTTCTGTTGCAAAAGGGGTAACGACTCTTCAAGGGGTCAAAGTTCATATACGCAGGGTCAACCGCAAAAATGTTTTGTAGAGGGAGAACATGCTCATCAACTAAAAATCTTTTAGATAAATCTTAAAACTCAAAAACGCACTTGGCGGAAAAAAATGATAATAAACAAAACAATTTTAATAGGTCTTTCCACAGAAAGGTGGAAAGACCTAATAAGCACCTTACGATCCGTTACTTCTGGCAATGCATTATCTTAAGTCATGAATGTGTATTACTTAAACAATAAAATGCTTTCTTTGGTTGTTTGTACGGGAATTAATGTCGCAGCTGTTGCAGAAAAAATACATAGCCCGCGTAAGCGGGTTATGTAAATTTTTGTCCCCAGCTTTCAGTGAAAGAGAGGGATATTAATTTGGGTCTGTCTGTCCGTCCGTCTGTATTTCTGTCTTTTATATAACTTCGTTTCCGCGTGATATCTCGAAAACCCTTTGAGCTTTCGCAATGAAATTTTGCATAACAACTCCCTATGGCATAAAAAAGAACCCTATTGATTTTGAGGTCAAAAAGTCAAAGGTCAAGGTCATAAATTATGTGTTTTAAAACTTTCGTTTCCGTGCGATATCGCGAGAATACTTTGACCTTTTGCAATGACATTTTACATAACAACTCCTTGTGGCCTAAGTCTATTTATTTTGAGGTCAAAAGGTCAAAGTTCAAGGTTGTAAATTCATACATTCCGTCTGTGTGTAACACTTTCGTTTCCGGACGATATCTGAAGAAGATTTTGAGCCTTTGCAATGAAATTTTATACCATAACCCCCTATGGCCTATCTCGTCCCTCTCAAAGTGTCGCGTCCCGTTTGTTTTAATGTATTGTATAACAAGAGGCCCAAGGGCCTTAACGGTCACCTGAGTACAATACAACAATTTAGAGGATCCATAGAGTATTAAAATGAAATGAAAGGTGAAGCTTTGTTGCCCAAAAGCAAGAAAAATAGGGTGATCAGGATCAACAAGGCCAAAGTTTTTTTTTTTCTTTCGGTTTACGATTCCGCCGACCCTAATTTTCACAAATCATGAAAATAAAAATAATGTCTTTTTCCGTCATATTTTTTCCGGATTTTTCTCAGCTGAACTGGTGGGTTTTAAATTTTAGAATGCATCTTAGTCAAATAAGCGCTTATAAATAAATGAGACCTTTACAAACATTTAGGTGACCGTAAATAAACACATGTGCAAACCAAAAATGGCGGTTCTGTCATGTAACAAGGTAATTCCTCACTGAAAGCAATGACACACACTTAAAGAACTTTTTCTGCATGGAAAAGTGAATAAAATCTTGGATAAATGATCCTTTTCTCCAATTGCAATGTCTCAATTGACTAAATTCATACCGTAATATTGGAGAGTGTATGCCCAACCCTGATCGACCTAGCAGACACGGATA